CAGGTGCAACCTCAAGAGGGGACACAGGAGAGGCTCAGAAACAGTTTATAGTCCTTTCAGGTCCTGGAGACAGGAGGCTGGCCATGCAGGTCACTTAATTAATTAAAAAGACAATTAATTAACTGTATTTTTTGGTGAGGGATTATTTTACTTTTAACTTCTTAGTGTTTAATTTTTAGTCCTTCATTTCATCTATTTTTCTGATTTTAACTTATTTATCACCTTTAGCTTTTTGTCTCTTTTATCCCAAACCGGATTTACTACAAGTTGTCTATTTTCATGCACAAACTATCACACCACGTGCAGAGGCCTGCCTGTCAGTCAATAGTTCAGTTTTGGCTGAACTGCCACCTTTGTTTCACAATAGTAAAATGATGATTTCACAATTGTTTGAATATCTTATTGCATTTTGCCCTTATTTTATACAAAATAGTGAACAAGTCTAAAATAAAAAATGCAATTCTATTTGTATCATAAATAATGAGAGAAATGTAGAAATATTAGCTGCCTCCCAAGCTTTTCACTTACCAGGATTACACCGATCCAATGTGTCTTCAATAGCAAAAGCTGAAGGTGGCTAGGAGCTATGGGGTTGGGATCTGAATCTAACTCCCTGCGTGGTGCAAGAACTAAAATCTGAAAAATGAACACACAGCTGGACCCATGACCACTGAAATCCCCAGAGACTCTGGCAACAGGAAGTCTTGTACTGTTTTATTCCGCAGCCACGTTTTTACCACCCAGAACTCACAGGGCTCCCATAGAAAACTCACAAAAATTAGTTCACACACAAAGAATTACAAAGCACTGGAAGAAATGAACATCATGAATAAGATGCAAGACCCAGAGATGGAATATTTATGCCATAATTGAGAATGTTATCACTTTTGTAATTCTCTGGAAATGGAGGTCTTGTATATGTGTGCATTGCTCAACTTTTTTATAATTAACTCTGGTACTTTTGTACCACCTCCACAATAGCAGGGCATTTAATACTGATATTTTGCCCTTTTCTTCCTTCTATTCTCCTGGCTTAAAATACTATTATTTTCATTTCTTTATTTCTTCTTTCTCTTCCTTCTTCTCTTTTTTTTTTTGAGATAGGGTCTCGCTCTATTGCCCAGGCTAGTGTGCGATGGTGCGATAATAGCTCATTGCAGCCTCAAACTCCTGGGCTCAAGTGATCCTCCTACTTCAGTCTCCCAAGTAGCTAGGACGACATGTGCACACCAACACCCCCAGCTAATTAATATCTATTAATTATATATTTAGATATTAATATCAATACCTATTAATTAACATAGTGATAATATATAAACTTATATAGTTATATACATTGACTATGTTATATATATTATATAATATATTAACTATATGTTTATATATAACCATATAAGTTAATATATATTAACTTACAAAATATAATTAACTTATAAATATATATTATATTTATAATCTATATTAACTTATAACAGGGTCTCACTGTGTTGCCCAGGCTGGTCTCAAACTCCTGGCATCAAGTGATCCTCCCACCTCAGCCTCCCAAAGTGCTGAGAGCCACCATGTCTGGCCTTATTTTCATTTCATAATAATATCATTTCCCCTGAATTTCTTCCACATCATTGTTTTATTTAATTCACGCTTCCCTTTTAATAAAGGCCCAAGACAGGTGCGGCCAAAGGGATGGTATCAAACGGGCAGCACGGCAGGAAGGGTCAGAAGCCTACCTTGCTGCGAGTTCCGGGTGAGCTGCCAGCTGCCTCTTCTACTGAACGCACGTCCTATTTGAGGACACCTTTCCACCTCCCCAGGATCCAGGCAACTGTCAGGACATAATTTATTTCTCTGTGCAAGCGGCACGTGCATTTCTGGCTCCGTCAGGTGACCTCTGGAACTGTAGCCTCATGGGCGAGGCTGCACACTTTAGAATCTGTGATCTCCGAGGAATGCAACCATTGGATTTGGAGCAAATCAAAGCCTGTCGCAAGCCAGGAGGGGAAGGGAAGGAGGAGGTCACACTGGCAAGGGCCCTTAGAAGGACTCATGTGCCGCTGACTGTCCTGTGGTCAAGTGGACCGTGGTGGAGGGTGCTGTGGGCATCCATCATCGAACCACTAGGTCTGCTGGTTCACAAAGCAGCTTCCCATGAGTCGTTTCCATCCCTGCACCTCCTTCTCAACAGGCACGAGAGGAGTCACTGTGGACATTTTCCCTCAACACAAAGTCTTCCTGAATAGGATTGTTTTTTTGAATGGGGCAAGCTGGGCAGCAAGCTTTGATTTTTCTTTTTTAGGAAGGCACTGAGAATGGCACAGACGGGCAGGCCATTTCATCCACCGACTAAAGCCTTGGTCCCCATGAAGCATTCTGTGCACTGAGACCTGGCTGACCCTGGGCTTTTCGGAGGCACTGTAGCCCTCAGGGAGGACCTGGTGCTTTTCTGGGGCGATTGGAGTCCCTGGAAGACACGTTAGCCCACTGCCCATTTCCAGCCCCGCAAGCCTTTCCTGACCCCCATCCTACCCGGCCCCTCCCGCGGGCCTCTCCTCCTGGTCTCCTTCCCTTGCTTTGGTTTTTTCACAGCAGTTGTCGTCATGGGATGCTACTTAAACCCTAGTGTGGCTGCTTATTCTGGCACAATCTGAACCCCACTGGAAGAAGCTCTCGAGCCTGGAACCCAGGCTTGTTCACCTGTGTCTCCCCAGCACTGAGCTTGGCCTGGAGTGATGCTTGTTCAGTGAGCGAGAGGCACTGCTCCTGGTGTGTGTGGCTTCCTCCCCCCACAGATCACATGTGAGTGCCACCGTGGACCACAGTGGGGAAGCCGTCTCCCGGGACCAGACTCAGCCTTCATCACTGCCCAGCCTGGTGCCACCCAGCGCCTCTCCAGTCTGCCCCCCTTCCCCAGACCCTGGACAGTCCTGTTCATCTCTCTGCTCACCCCCGCATGTTAAGAACCTGACCCGGAAAGTGGGCATGCGCGGGTCCCAGGAGCTGTCTGGGCGCACTAGGCCTCTGGGCGAAGGAGTTGACTTGCCAGGCCAGGGGCAGTGGCTCCAGTGCGAGCTGCCTCTCTTGTGGCCTAGAGCCATGCAGTGAGGTTCACTCCTGAGTTCTTCCAGATCTGTTGGCTCCCCAGAGCCTCTCAGCACATCATGGGAGCCCATTCTCAACTTGTGTTTGGCTTTTTGGGGCCTGTTTCTAACAATACATGCTTGTAAGGGACCCAGGTTTTAGAATGTTCTTTATTCCAAAGTCAAGGTTTTTCAAATTTTATCCCATCTGCTGGCTGGAAAAAAAAAAAAGGTGGGGGCAGAAATAAGGGTGACAAATGAATCAGCCTTCCCACCTTGCTCAGAAAAGTTGCTATTCAAGCAAGCTCTGAATGGCAAATTAGATGTGATATCTATGTTTGTCTGTTTGTCTTTAGTCATCTTATAATTTTATTTTATTTTAAAAATAATTAATATGTTTTATTTTTAGAGCAGTTTTAGGTTTACAGAAAAACTGAGTGGAAGGTTCAGCTTTCCCATACACCCCTCGGCAACCCAAGCTCACTGTTTGCTCTGTTAACAATGAACATGAATGTAATGTATTTGTTACAGCTGATGAGACTTTGATACATTCTTTTGTATCATATATTTTTAAATTTAATTAACTTTTTGTTTAAACATTTTTTTTATAGAGACGAGGGTCTCACTATATTGGTTAGACTGGTCTTGAACTCTTGGCCTCAAGGCAATCCTCTCGCCTCAGCCTCCCGAAGTGCTAGGACTGCAGGGATGAATCATTGTGGCTAGCCTTATTATTATTTTTAGTTGAAACACAATTGTACGTATTTATGCGGTACAGTGTGATATTTCAATTCATGTATACATTGTGTAGTGATCAAATCAGGGTAATTAAGCTGTTCATCACCTAAAACATTCCTCGTTTCTTTGTGTTGGGAACATTAAAATGTGCTCTTTTAGCTGGATACATTATTTTAAACTAAAGTCCGTAGTTTACATTAAGGCTTAGTCTTGGTGTTGCACTTTCTACAGGGTTTTTTTGTTTTGTTTTGTTTTTGTTTTTTTTGAGATGGAGTCTCGCTCTGTCACCCAGGCTGGAGTGCAGTAGCACAAACTCAGCTCATTGCAGGCTCTGCCTCCTGGGTTCACCCCATTCTCCTGCCTCAGCCTCACGAGCAGCTGGGACTACAGGCACCCGCCACCACGCCTGGCTAATTTTTTTGTGTTTTTAGTAGAGACGGGGTTTCACTGTGTTAGCCAGGATGGTGTCGATCTCCTGACCTCATAATCTGCCCGCCTCGGTCTCCCAAAGTGCTGAGATTACAGGCGTGAGCCATCGTGCCTGGCCCATTCTACGGGTTTTAATAATGTTATGTATCCACCATTACAGTGTCATGCAGAATAGTTTCACTGCCCTCAAACCTCTGTGCTCTGCCTACTCATCCCTCTCTCCCCTAAACCATGGCACCCACTGCTCTTCCTATCTCCAAGTTTCGCCTTTTCCAGAATGTCATAGTGAGAATCATACAGTATATAGTCTTTTCAAGCTTCTTTCACTTAGTCATATGCACTTCAGTTTTCTCCCTGTCTTTTTGTGGCTTGACAGTGTGTTCCTCTTTACTGCTGAATAATATTCCACTGTCTAGATATACTACAGTTTATTTATGCATTCACCTACTGAAGGACATCTTCGTTGCTTCCAAGCTTTGGCTTCAAATTTATTTATTTATTTTTATTTAAAATATTTTAATTTCTAAAAATGTTTAAATCATATTAAAATTTAAACAATTTCATTGTACAGTACTTGACAATACATTTCAACCAACTGAAATGCAAAACAAATCAGTAAATCAGGTTTTGTTTACTTTCTAAGCTTAATAATAAACAGACTCTTGCTCCTCAAGAAGATGCAAAAATCAGCAACAGTGAAAGTGAAATATTTAAATAGGAATCTGAAACAAAACGAATTCAATCTGATCAAATCCACAATTAATTGAAGTTTTCATTTTATTCAAGTGTGAATAAAATAGCAGCCACTATTTCATCCAATATGCCAATGATATCAACTAAATGATCTGCCTGGCATGTGCAAAACAAGAACAGTTATCTTCTGCTGAAAGGATGTGAGCTTTCAAATTTGGTTTTCATGTCATAGTTTCAAAACAAATAAACTGCTCCACCAAAAACAACAGTCTAGGTGCTACATATCTTCCAGGGTTTCATCATATAGCCATTTATAAGCACAATCTTTGGAACACTGTATAGTTTCAAAAAGTTTTTTGAAGTCTTGAGGGTACACGTTAGTTATTTTCTCTTCTTCCTTTTTTCCTATTTGCATCAATATATCCATTGCATCAAGTGGAGTCAGTGAACGTAAGTGGTCTATTAGATTGGCACTGCGCCTCACAAAACAGTGCTTTAACATGTGAAAAATATATTATAGTGAATAAGTGTTCAGTTCTTGGTAAATAAATTTCCATAAGGAGTCATTTGAATAAGATACAGATTGTGTTGTAATAGTTCTAATAATTCCCTATGCTTGGGTTTTCCAGCTGCCCATTTCAGGTGTACACATCAAACGATGACCAAGGCTCCATGTGCAGAACCTTAATCTCACAAGCTGCGTACCAGATAACACTTCATACATGATACAAGTCTGGATTTCGGGGATCTGCCGTTAGTTTCTGGAATTCTTTTTCACCAATAAAGATATTTCGTTCTATTCGTCCAAATAGAAGCACAGGAATACAAGTCATATGCAGGTTTCCAAAGTGCCCTTTCTTCACCTCTACTTGGGAACATTCCAGTTACTTTTAGAGGGATGCCTGCTGTCCAAGGAACTGCTTCTATTCCCAAATTCTGAAACAGCCCTTGAGAAGCCATAGCAGGTGGTTTTATTACTCCACCACTTCTAGGATCTATTTTAAAGAAGTCACAGTGACTCACTTGTAGTTTTCCATCCAGATTTTTTCCTAAGGACTCCAAATGTGCAATAAAAGTTTTGTCACTTTCAAGGGCAACCACTTTGGCATCAACTTCAAGTAATGCCTGAGTCAGGATTCCAGGACCCGGATTGCGCTGCAGCAATAGGTGTGGAGGCCTATTTTGTTTTCTCCATACGATTGGCGACATTTGTTGCTGCCCACAGCGGGCAGCGCCAGGGTCTCAGCCAATCTCCGATTGGTTACGTAACGCTTAAAGTCTAAGCTGGACTTAGACATCTTCCTCGGCGTGTTCCTGAAATCCGGATTGGGCCACAGCTGCGGAGAGGAGTCAGACAGGCCACGGTGGTTCCTCGCCGGCAAGTGCTTTCGTGTCGCCGCTCCAGACCCTCAAATGCAAAAGCGACCAGTGCCCGCCAAGGCGAAGAGCCTCAGCCAAGGAGGAAGCCCGGCCACTGGGATCCACATGTCCTTGTCTCTCAGGCCCTCTCCAAGGATTACCCAGGGTCGCTACTACAGTGAACCCCTAAATTTATTTTTAATTATATCATTGAAACATACATATATGCACTTGGAGGAAAAATTAAAGCGATACAGACAAAAGTATTATTTCTTTGCTACTACTCCACCTCTTCCAAGTTCACCACATTCCCCACGTGCATCTTTCTAGATCCTTCCTAAGCATTTATAGATATTTATGTACACAGAGTACGTTAATTATCTATGGCTGTGTAACAGATGACCTCAAACTTAGTACGTCTTTAGCAACAGTAAATATTTACAATTGTACAGCTTCTGAGGGTTAGGGAATTGGGGAATGTTTTATTAGGGTGGTTCTGGCTCAGTTTCTCATGAGGTTGCAATGAACCTGTCAGCCAGGGCTACAGCCATCAGAGTCTTAAATCTGCTTCCAAGGAGGTTAACTCACATGGCTGGCAAATTGATGCTGGTTGCTCTGAAGGGCTGCTTGAGTGTTCTCACAACATGGCGGCCAGCTTCCTCAAAGCAGGGGAGAGCTGGGGGAGTGCTCAGCTCTTTTGTGACTCAGCCTTGGACGTTACACATTACCACTTGTGCAGCCTCCTGTTGGTGACATGGGCTATGGGAGAGGTGTGAACACCAGGAGGCAAGGCTTGGCGACTGTTTTATAAAGACTGACTACCATGTAGAGAAACTAATGGATTTTTTTGTAGTTTTTGTGGAAAGCTTTACATTTGGGAAAAGGAAAAGTTACAAATCTTAATCGTTTTTAAGCTTTACTGATACACACAAAGCAAGCAGTATTAAAACACATCCCATGCCAGTTTGTAGCAAACAATCTGTGTTGAGGAATTTTAGCCATCATAGTAGTGAAAAAATGATTACATATATAGTGTGATGATTTAAACTTTGTGAGAACTGATCTGTTAAGGTTTGGATATGGGAAGATTGCAGGAATAAATTAACTTTCACATACTTAAAATCTCCTCACAAGAACACCCTACATTTATCACAGTGCTGAAGGTGCTATGGAAAGCACACGCTTATGGAAAACAGGCTCTAAGTTTTATTTTTCCTTTAAAAAGGCAACCCTCTTGCCCCTACTCTGATTTATTTTAGGTTTGGGCTCATTCATTTTGACCCAGGTGGTTAGGTTTCTCCTTATTTACAAACAGGTGTTTGCCTTACAATTCTGTTGTCCATTCCCCGTCACGCTGCATGAGGTCAAAGTAGAGGTCTGTTTGGAAATGCGACAGGAGCAGAGCAAAGGTAAACACGGTGAAAGGTCCTGCAGCAGCAGCCAGGCAGACACAGTCAGGACCTGCCTGGGATCACAAACGCCTCCTGCCAGCGTGCCAGCCCCTCACCCCACGCAGAACCACGGGCCACTGTTTACTGTCCTGACCTTACAGTGCCATGACTACTGATCACGGGTGAGCGCAAACATAAGAGTACAACAGTGTGACGGTCCAGAAGAAAACTCACAGCAAAACACCTGTTGGTATCTTCTGACGTCCTAGGTTCAAATGTCCCATGACCTTGGGGCTTGGCTCTTCCATGCCGCAGCCCTTCCAAACAGCACACTCAGGGCCCACTGCATGCTGTGTCTGCTGTAGACGCTGTGCACGTTACTTAATCCCATCGGAAAGGGGACACTGGAACAGAGAGAAACTAGAGGAGGGGAGTCTGGGGAAAAAATTGGTCAATCGGTATGTAAACAAACCTGCACGTTGTGCACATGTGCCCTACAACTTGAAGTATAATAATAATAAAAAAGAATTTTTAAAATGAGTTATCCATTTGCAAACTGCTGATTTCTTTGGGCATCGTGCCTATAAACTTTTTGTAAAGCATCGGTGATTTCACCAGTCTTCCACCCAAACTTCACCATAAGTCTGATGTTTCTTCTTGCTTCAATTTGAGCAGGATCCATGCTTCTCTGACAGAGGGGTTTTTTCAAACTGATGTCTCATCCTTCTTACAGCCTCAGCCTAGATCCTGTCCAGACACGCTACAACAAGTTAGTACAAGTTTATTTGGTGCAAAAAAAAAAAAAAAAAAGGAAATCCATGCATAGTTTTTAAATAATATGCATTTTCATGAACTTTTTGAAGACCCATTGTATACTTAAGCTGTTCCACATGGAAAAGCTTCCGTATCAAATGCAGTAAGGCAGCATCTCAAACATTTTGTTCTAAGGATTTCTTCTCACTCTTCAAAGTTGCTAAGGATCCCAAGACCATCAGTTTATTTGGGTTATATCTACTAATGCGTACTCTGTTAGAAATTAAAACTCAGATATTGTAAAGATATTAATTTGTTAAAAAACAAAAGTAATAAACATCTACATGTTAACATAAAAAAACTAGTCAGTTGGTTCATATGTAATGAGTACTTACGATATCCAAAGCTTTATATTTCCCACAATACATATATCATCAGCTACACTATATATACACACACGTATATATACATACATATACACCCATATATATACACATATACACACACATATACACACATATATATACACACACATACACACACACACACACATATACATATGGGTTTTTTTTTGGAGGGGTTTTTTTTTGTTTGTTTTATTTTGAGACGGAGTCTTGCTCTGTCACCAGGCTGGAGTGCAGTAGCACAAACTCAGCTCACTGTAGGCTCCGCCTCCCGGGTTCAAGCAACTCCTTTGCCTTAGCCTCCCAAGTAGCTGGGACTACAGGCATGCACCACCATGCCTGGCTAATTTTTTGTATTTAGTAGAGATAGGGTTTCACCATGTTGACCAGGCTGATCTCGATCTCCTGACCTCATGATCTGCCCGCCTCGGGCTCCCAGAGTGCTGGGATTACAGGTGTGAGCCACCGTGCCCGGCCTACACTATGTATTTTATATATTTATTTGCATAGTGTTTGTCTCCCTTTCCCAGACAATAGAATATGAACTCCCCAAAGGGAAGGATTTGTATCTGTTTTATTTACTGCTGTGAACCCAGCACCTAGAAGCATGTCACACAGCCAGCATGCAATAACTATGAGTTGAGTTAATGAATGGAAGTGCCGTGCTGATATGTCATCACAGCAAACAATTAGTGTGCACCAACACATGCTAGGCTTAGCAATTTGCATGAGTTTTCCTGTTTCCATGTTCATAATGGAGCAACACTACGACGCAGGCTCTAACATTATCCCATTTTACAGATAAGGAAACTGCAGCTCAGAAAGGCCATATAACTTGCAGAAACAGTGGCACTGGGGTTTAATCCCAGGTGTTCTGTCTTCTAGGTCTTTAGTTCAGACCAAGCCTCCAAAGCCACACTCTAGGAAAGTTACAAAGACCAATTAGACACAGTCCCTGTTTTGCAAGCAGAATATGCTAGTTGGAGATAAAATCTGAAAGTAAGTCAGAACCAACCAGGGCACTAATGGTATGAAGTGTGATGGAGGGTGCAGGAGTGAAAATGGGCGGGCAGAAAAAGATAAACAGCAAGATGTTTTATAACAGTATTATTGCTAGGTGGTGAAAGTATAAATGTTTAATGTTTTTATTTCCTACTTTATCTTATGTTTTCTAATTTTTCCATAATAAACAAGTATTGATTGTTTGTAATAAGTATTGTAATTATTACAAGTATTGTCATAAAGAAAAAATATATTTATCTTAAGAAATTTTCTCTTGAACATTTAAAACAGGCTGGGCACAGTGGCTTGCACCTGTAATCCCAGCACTTTGAGAGGCTGAGAGGGGAGGATTGCTGGAGGCCAGCAGTTCAAAACTAACCCGGTCAACATAGCGATACACAATCTATACCAAAGGAAAAAGAAATTACCTGGGCATGGTGGTGCATGCCTGTAGTCCCAGCTACTTGGGATGCTGAGGTGGAGGATTGTTTGAGCCCAGGAATTCAAGGTTGCAGTGAGCCATGATCGCACCACTGCACTTCAGCCTGGGTGACAGAGCAACACCCTGTCTCAAAAAAAAAAAAAAAGAAAAAAAAAGAAAAAAAAAGAAAAAAAAAGGTTTAAAAATACATTTTCGGTTGGGCACAGTGGCTCATGCCTGTAATCCCAGCACTTTAAGAGGCTGAGGTGGGCGGATCACGAGGTCAGGAGATCAAACCAGCCTGGCCAACAAGGTGAAACTTCGTCTCTACTAACAATACAAAATTTAGCTGGGCATGGTAGCAGGCACCTGTAATCCCAGCTACTTGGGAAGCTGAGGCAGGAGAATGGTTTGAACCCAGGAGGCAGAGGTTGCAGTGAGCTGAGATCTTGCCATTGCATTCCACCCTGGGTGACATGGTAAGAATCTGTCTCAAAAAAAAATAAAAAGTTTCTGAAGTAAGTGTCTAAGACAAGCTTCTTTCTTATCTTTCCATTTTCCCTCCCTCAAAGTGAACTCTATTACTAGTTTTTGGATAACCTTTCAATGACAGTCTGTGCATAAAAGTCATATACAATTACAGCTATTTAAAAAATTTTTTTATACCACACTAAATTCAACTTTAACCCAAGGGCTGGCTACTTAGGAAGAAAATGTATCTTAGGTTACTTTTCAGCCACCTCCAGCAAGCAGGGCTAGGACTCTGGTGAGGTGAGCAAGGCACTTGGCTTGGGCATCAAATTTAAGGGAGTGCCAGAAAACTCAGCACTCATGATAAATTATATATGTGTGTGTGTGTATATATATGTGTGTATATATGTGTGTGTATATACATGTGTGAATATATATGTGTGTGTGTATATATATGTGTGTGTGTGTATGTGTGTGAATATATATGTGTGTGTGGGTGTATAGACACACACACACACACACATATATGAAACAGAGTTTTGCTCTGTCACCCAGGCTGGAGTGCAGTGGCATGATCTTGGCTCACCACAACCTCTGCCTCCCAGGCTCACACGATTCTCTTGCCTTAGCCTCCCTCGTAGCTGGGATTATAGGCATGCACCACCACACCCAGCTAATTTTTTTGT